TCTCTCTCTCTCGGTAACCCAGCTCTCTCTCTCTCTCTCTCTCTCTCTCTCTCTCTCTCTCTCTCTCGTGCGCGCGCGCGCGTTCACTCCTTCACAGTGAAGGTGGGGAATGCTGGATGCCCACTGCACGACTGTGTCGCGCGTGAACGCCGCGCATGCTTTATACCGGCACACGACGGTTTTTTTTTTTTTTTTTTTTTTCACGACGACCCTCCCGAGTCCCAACTGGACCCCACAGGCTCCCTTGACGGCCCAGTGCCCTCGCAGCCACCTCCCAGGTCCTCCCCAGCCCTCATGACCCCTTCTGCCCCCCCTCCGCAAATGCGTCAAATGCGTTCAGGGCCGTTCATTGAACACGCGTTCACCGCGTTCACAAACTGAACGTGGAACGCGCGGTAACATAGCTCTCTCTCTCTCATTGAACGCGCAATCTGTGCATACTCGCACTGCGCCCTGAAGCCGCCCCCTCGGGCTTTTTAAATCTTCGACCGTCCCGCCCGACGGCCCGACCAAGCCGAAAACGAGTTTCCCGCTCGTTTTCGGCTTTTTTTTTTTGGGGGGGGGGGGGGGGTGAATTTTTTTCGTTTTTATTTTTTCCACGCCGTTATTGAAGTCAATTTTTTTTTTTTTTTTGCAGACAGCCTCCCGCCCCCTCCCACCACGCCCTGCCACCTCCAGAACCGCGATGTGCCCGACGGGGGACCCCGACCGAAACCTCATACGAGCCTCGTTCGGACGGCCGTACAACGTACGGAAAATAACACAGACACAAACGAAAAGGAGGGGATCAGACAAAGAGAGGGGGAGAGATGGGAATGTCGTCAACACCAAGTCTCTGTCACAAGTCCCGAAGAATCCCTCGTCGTAATGTCTGAAGCCCAAAAGTCGAGTCGGGATCCAATGTCCCCAAGCTCTCTCTCTCTCTCTTTCTCTCGTAGTTTGTTGATGAAGTGAAGCCAGATAAGGAGAGGGTGAGAGGGAGATGGTGGACTGAGAAGAGGAAGAAGAAGAACTCTCTCTCTGTCACGAGCCAGATACTAACCTATGAAGTTGGCGTTGTGCTGCAAGTACCTCGAAGACGAAGCTCGAGCAACGACGCTGCAGGTAGGTACTCCTGGCCTCCGCCCAATCTCTTTCTCTCCAGTGCTATCCTAGTTATGACGCCCAGCGCTGAAGACTACAACTATCTACTGCGCCCAGCGCTGAAGACTAATGCTAACGCTACTACTACTCCTGCAGCGCTCCCTCCAGAATGATGTTGCCGAATC